AAGACCCGCCCCGTCCGCCCGCGCGCTTACCGCGTTTTCCCAGCGGGGCGAGACGGGTCGTGCTCTTGGCGAGCTCGTCGCAACCCTCGGGCGCCAGACGCGCGCGTGGAAAAAGCAGCGGCTCTGCCGTCCAGACGAGTCTTGTTTAGCACAAATATCTGGGCACATACCGCCAATCGTGCACTTACTATCGGCACAGCGTGATGACACGCACCAGTACGGAGCCTTCGCTGACCGGTATTCGCCCACTCCCTGGCGATTTCATGCAATGGTTCCAAGGTATCTGTGATTAAAAAAGAAAAAAAAAAAAAGGGAAAAAACGCCAAACACACCCCCCCACCCCCAACTCAGTCCTATTAACCAGAACCGAACAGGAATGACCTGAGTGGGTACAATAAATTCCTGCTTTCTAAACTTTCTTCAAGAGAAAGTACTCAGGTTTACTAAATGCTCTGACACTTTAAAGAAAACTCCACAAGCTTTGCTCTCTGTCCCTTCGCTGTAAGATGCAGGGTGGACCACGAAACATGGGGACGGTGAAGAAAAATAATAAATACTAATACTAATAATAAATAATAAGTACTAATAAAAATCAAGTGTTTTCTCTGTGCACCATTCTATACAAGTTTAAATATAAAAAAAAATTTAAAACGCTTTGTATATACAAGCATATGCAGTCACAAGAGACTGTGTGCTCTCAAAAGAGACGTCGACAGAAAATTTTCTTCTGCTAAATAATAGTGGCATCATTTACCACTCGATTCCAATTAAGCCCTTCACAGTTGCACTCTTTTTTTAATGACATACAAGAAACACCACTCTGCTCAAAAATATAAAATGTAATTTTATGATTAACATGATCTGTTCTGCCTAGTTCTTTATTCTCTGTCTTTTTCTAGAGATCAGGCAAAGAACACATGCAAGTTGTCCTTGTCTGATGGGGAATCACAGCATACACCTCTTGAAGCTAGAGGTACAGGAAGAATTAACAGTATGTGCATCTAAAAGTTTCTTCCACTCTCTCTATTCATTTGGACAATATTTAAAATGTCCCTTTCCGTCTATGGTATTTAAATTAAATGGCATCTTTAGAAGCTTTAAAGAATCTGGAGACACAGGACATGCATTTCTTTCCATCACTAGAAATTAATATACAGTACGAGGAACATAACTCTGTGCCTCATTTGGGTACAGGCTCTTCACTGCAGCACAGCCTACCCTGCTGAGACTCGAAACTCTTCTCTGGTGAGTACAGTTCACCGTTGCTCATATTTAAAAAGAAAAGGGAGCAGGGTAGTAACTCTTCATGGCTTACTCATATCACCACGGAACATGAAGTAAAATTTCTATCACTCTGGTTTAAATTTCTAAAGAAACCATTCCTCGATGACATGCTTTCTTCTCCTGCAAGCTGATGTATGCCAGCAAGTCCTAATGAGCAATGCTGGTTTACTCTCTTAGGTTGAGGTACAAATTTGTTCTTATAATTGCTTTTTCTTCTCAGATCTCGGTCTACTTTAGTGCCTTGCGTGAAGATGGCAAAAAAGCTGCTGAAAACTGTGTATTTTGACTTCAAAAACAGTATAAAATCATCCAAAATGCACATGGCAGCAACCAGTAACCTGTGTCTTTAAGAATATTATTTATTTGTTTTTGTAAACAACTTCATTTTTAAACAAATTAAAAATACATTGAAAAGTGTCTCTACATATATACACACAGTACATGTTCAAACTTCACTTCATTGTGATGCGACGGTTTCAGCAGACAAACGAGAGTTCTTGATCCAAAACTCAGCTGCATTACAACCGTCTCCGGCAGTCCAGCACGCCACGCTGCCAAGACCCAGCCCTTTTGGGAATACTTCATTTGTTATTTATCACCTGAACCGTTTTCCGGCCATAGTGGTAATAGCTGTACGCGGACGTTACCGTTGTGAAAGCTGTGATGCACCTTTGAGGAAAATAGTTCCTGTTAAGTCATTTGAATCCAAGTATGACAATAAAAAGTGTTGTTTTTAAGAGCCTTCCCTACTTTTCACTACACAGTCAAGGACTACATCCTACAGAAATGCAGTTTATATGCTGAAATCCAGCACTAAGTGGAGGATTAGATAACAAACGAACTGCCATCCAGCGCTAAGCAGCGTGCTTCTGTTTGACTGCATACTAGGCCACATTTTTACCATACTAGCATTTGTTTCAGAGAACAGAAAGCAAAAGATTGAGGATTCGTAGCCTACAGCATTTTTATCAGCTTGAGAACTGACTGATGTGAGAAACTATCCCTTGGTAATATGAAAGAGGAGTGTTCAAATCATGCAAGACTTATCATTTTACCAAGCTCCAAAGATAAAGCACGAGTTTCAGCTTCAGCCTCTTTTGTTCTCTTCTCAGATGCTGAGTAACAACCATATATATTTCTAAATTAGCAATGCTCCTCTGTGTCAAAAGCTGACACCATTCAGGTGTGAGCCACCGCTACAGTCCTGCCTCTCCACTGCTGCTGCCCTCCCTGGACACGCTGCCAGACTCATCCAGGTCATTTTGCAGGGTGTTCAGAGGACCCCGGTAAATTACACCCAGCATTTCTCTATTACTCACAACATGACAGCTCTCCAAGAGTCCCAGACAAGCAGCAAGGTAAGTGTCTTTCACAGATGCAATTCTAGATTCGGCTTTCCAACAGGATGAAAAAACCACATTGACCACTAAGATCAAGGTTCCTAGTTCCTTAAAAGCTTTGGGGTTTGTTTTGCTTTTTTTCTAAAAGACAAGTAACATTGGATTTTCCACTACTTTAAACTAAGCTACTAGTTCTGCTACCTGCTGCTCAGCCTCTTTTTTCTTAGGTGAACTCTTACCTAACTGCTCAGGAGAAATAACTGCATGTGTAACACCTGCCGCTGCTACAATTCCGATTCGGATACAGCTCAGATCTCCAATGACAGCAACGAAAGGAACAGCCATTATTTAAGGAGGTACGCTCCTGTATGCCTGTTTTCATTCCATCTCTCCCCTTCCTTCCTATAGTCTAGCAAGAATCACCAGATTTCTTCAGGTGCTTTTCAAAGAGGCTTCAGAAACCTAGATTTCAAGATAGCAGGTACAACATAAAGCAAAAATAAAAAACCCACTTCTGTCTATTTTTACTGATATCAAGGTGGCTTTTTCAAGGATGCTTCTGGTATGAATAAAGAATCCATACAGCCTTTCTTCCCACTCCCTTCTTTTCTATTAATCTGAATTTACACTCTGCCTGTGTACACCATGTCTATTCTGAAGACTCGTTTCTTAGCTATTATTCCTGGATCTTAACTAGTTTCGTTTGAATACTTTTTGCTTGTATAGTAAATCAAGTGCCAGCAAATACCTAGCTCCTGTGTCAGTTAAGAATGTACATGTAAAAATTCAGGCATATAGGTCTATTACATCATCCGGGCACAGTTTTTTTGTTTCACACAATAAAATTAAATTTCAGTTATCAGTTTCTTTAGGAGTACATTAAATTATCTGAGAAAAAAAAGTGAAGAGATAAGTTACCATAATGTCTGCAGATATATGCTGTCCACATAATTGAAAACTGGAGCTGCTAAAGAAGCTGCCACCAAAAATAGCTGAAACGCTGTATTCATCTGATAAAAGCAAAATAGGAAATATGACCAAAATGAAGACATGTACTATGCGAGGAACACCAATACTTGCTTTTATTACTGGTTTAAGTATTAGTCTACATACAGAAAGTGTATTTAGAGACCTCTTTTAACAAAGCATCTTACACACTTGAAATTAGCATGTGCTCTGATAGAGCACAGTTGAAAATCTTTCAGGATTTAAGTTGACTCCAAATAAGTTGGCACTATTTTGAAACTGCGCTCAACAGTAGTAGTGAACAGCCTCCTCCCTCCAAACTACACACCACCCCAAGTACTGCAGAGTTACCTTTTGTAGCGAGTTACTACTCTTACCTTGCTAATGAACGTTGGTTTTAATTGGGCAGTAGCATAACAAGGATTAAAATACCTACTGAGTGTTCTCTGTTGGGGGAGAAAAGAGAAGAAAAAAAGGCAATTCTGGCATATTCAATTCAATATACTTCCTTGCACGATACAGAAAAAAGGTCAAGAATGATATTGCTACTGCTCTTATATGATTTATTACACATCATAGACAGGAAAAAAATTAGCTCTGACTCATCTTTATGAAACCTATTTTATGAAATACTGTTCTGCTTGCAAATCTACCTGGCAAAAGAACAAGCACAGCATTACATCTTAGGTTATCCACCCAAGTTTCGAGCAATTATCAAGTCACGAGACGAAAATCTCTCAGTTACAACTTTGTTAAAGGCTTATTCATTTTTTTTTATACTTGTAAAAATACAGAAGATTTAACCGAAATAAAATGATTAATACAATTTTGTTGAATGCTATACACTTACCGGCGGAGAAAGAGTTTTGTATCGCACATAAAAAACAGCAGCAATGAGCGCTACATCCCTCAAGATAATCATGGAAGTAAGTGAAACTGAAAAACCAAGCCAACAGGATCTCGTGAAAAGTCATGACCATGATTTAAACCAAAACAAAATCAGAAGACCACAAAATATGAAGCAAGAAGAAATAACCACTCTCAACTTCTTCCAACTTCTTCAGAAGAAGTTTTATGCATGACTGAAGATTTTTAACCTGACTTCTGAAAGGGTTTCATCTGAAGTCTTAAAAACAATCCAGTCTATGAAAAAACTCTTTACACAACTGCTATCAGCTTAAAGAAAGTATATTTGAATCAGGCAGTAATGTTTTTTGTTTTGCAGGTCTTTTGTGGTGGAGGAGGGATGTTTTCTAAGAATTTAACAGGGGCAAATAGCAAAGTGCAACTGGCAAAGCAAGAGTTTTGAGCTATACACAGTTTTCCTTCTGGACACACAATAAATATTACTACACATGAAATCAGCTTCTTTACTTTATATAGTACACATGAGTAATGACACTTTCTCACCTGGGATGAGATTTGCACAAGTTAGGCTGACGTAGAGCACACTGATGAGAATTTTATCAGCCAGAGGATCCAGAGCGCTTCCCAAAGCGGATTTCTGATTAGCCCAGTTTCGTGCAATAAATCCATCCAACTAGGAAAAACAATGTTTCTCTGTTAGAAAACTAAGAATAAAAATAGCTTATACATGCTACTGTTACAGAGATATTTCATGACTGACATCACAACTAGTTTAACTAAGATGAAATACGATACCTGTTAGCTGGTATTTGTATCATGCTTTTTTCACACTACCTTCCAGATTTTGGAAGCCTCTCAATTTGGAACACACTCAATTCTCATTATTTAAAAAAAAAAAAGAAGGTAAAAAAAAAAGGGGGGAGGGGGAGAAAGGAAAAAAGAGATAACTGCTATTGTAAAAGTCACATAATGACTGCCATGAGGGGTGCACCTGCACACAGTAACAGACCACTGGATGCATAAGCACTGACTGGCCAATGCCCACCTGGTGCTGGTCAGGGAACGCTGATATCCCCTTTGCTCCACCAGCACCAGGTCCCCTCCAGCTACCCTTCGCGATGCTGCAAAGGATGTATATACCATTTCTAGAAAACAAAATATAAACTAACTAATCCGTTTATTCATTTCCATTCTACAACAGAGCCTAACTTTCAACGTGTGTTAACGGAATCACTGTAACCCACGCTATCCCCCAAGTATTTCCAAACTGATGCAAACATACCAAATCCGTTATGCCAGCCAAAACAAAGACACCTAGTGCAACATCGAAATTTTCTTCAACAATCAAATAGCCTAAAACTGGCGCCAAACCCATTCTTGCCATTGACAGTATATTTGGGATCGTCCAGGGGTTTTCATACTGCAAAGCAAGAAAGGAAAAACTTCAGGGCAGGAAGGCAAACCCTGACGTGGCATGTAACAGAATTAATCAAAACAAACACACGCTTTAAGCCAAAAAGCCTTGTCAAATTCTGGAAAGCAACCCGCTGTTTGCGCAAGACGCACAGGCACGGCCTCTATCCGGTAAACGTTAAC